AGTTACGGTTTCATATTTTTAATTTTAGAATTTCTGCATGCCATCTTACCAGATTTAAACTGATGATCTATAATCCGGAAAAATCGATAATCCGGACTCGCCGAAGTAAACAACTTTTGACTGTATATGCTCTTACAATAATTCAAAATTCCAATCACTGTGTTGGGAATTCATCGGTGCTTAATTAATTAAAAAATACAAAAATAAGTTGAGAATTATTATGGCAAATCACTATGCTGACAATAATGTCAAAATTAGAAAATAATTGAACCATGAATGTTAGTTTAAACTGAACCATGAAAGTTGGTGGCGATCCTGCCCCAAAGTTGTACCAACTGTTTTTGTAGAACTCTGAACGAACTGACTTCTCTTAATTCACAAACATAATGTTCAATTCACTTTGTTTCTGTGCTTCATAGCAAATCCTTGATTTCTACCTTTTTGTTTGGCTCTCATTTTATCACAAGCTCTGTTTAAAATGCTATGAGTACGAGCTTCCTGCAGGTAATTGTTTTGTTGGCCATATTCAGCAAACAACATCATGTCCATTAATAAACACACCTTTTTTGGGTGGTGGCAAAATCCAATAACTTGAAAATAATCTACTGCTTTCTGTTCTGTAGAACATCTATTTGAAGTTTTAATCCCCCTCCCCCTTTTTTTTTTACAAAATGGAAGGGACAAAATACAGCAAAATCAGTTAATTTATATCCTTATTTATAAAAATAAACAGCGGCTTATTGATAATCAACTGGGGGTACATCAAAGAAAAGGGCAGATGTTACAAGTGTATCATTACATCCTGCTTGTCCATAGTTGATGATAAATTACATTGCTTGGCAATTGTCGACTGGTTAATATGTAAGTAACAAATAACTTAATGGTTGATCTTTACATTATGGTAACTTGGCGATTTTTTGGCGAAAATTTGGCAACCAACTCTCCTACAGCAACCCTCTATTTTTTTTCCCCGTCGCCATTTTGTCTTCACGAAGTAAAGACATGTTCCTTTTCTTTTTATCTACTGAACACTTCTTCCAACAATCTACTAGCCGAATTACACTTATGCTAGAAATTTTATCAAACAAAACTGCTTAATCATGACAAATATTCACTGCAAAATTGAGAAAAAGTGCACAATACCATACTCCTTACGCGTTTTTCAAAATAACACATACACATAAACCCATGTACACGCCGACTTATTTTTACTTAAAAAAAAACATCCCAGAATTGCACAAAAATGGCATTGCGCACACACTCTTCACTATATCCATGTACACTGCTTTTTTCTCATAAATTAGAAAAATTTCACGAAAAAAATACATGACAATTTTCTCAATCTTTAAACCCGGTAAAAAGAAACATATATGAAATTACCTGATCGCGAAAAAGTATTTACCCTTTACAAATATGAACATTTCCAACATATAAAAAATAAATAAAATATCCAAAAACTTTTACCTCTAAATCATCTATTACATTATACACGTCACCAACGAATTCATACCGCAGGCATTACAAATACTTAGTATCAAATATTTAAATTATTTCCATGCACGTTTATTTCAACTTAAACGTATACCAAATTCCTACAAACATAAAATTCACAAAATAACTACATTTAATTAAAATATCACTAAACCATGTACACGTCGACTTATTTTTACTTAAAAAAAAATCCCAGAATTGCACAAAAATGGCATTGCGCACACTCTTCACTATATCCATGTACACTGCTTTTTTCTCATAAATTAGAAAAATTTCACGAAAATACATGACAATTTTCTCAATCTTTAAACCCGGTAAAAAGAACATATATGAAATTACCTGATCGCGAAAAAGTATTTACCCTTTACAAATATGAACATTTCCACATATAAAATAAATAAAATATCCAAAAACTTTTACCTCTAAATCATCTACAGTCAAAAGTCGTTAATTCGGACACCCATAATTCGGAATGATCTATAATCCGGACCTCAAAACTAAAAACTTTCTGCGCATGCGCCGCGTTGACACATGCGCATAGGCGTTTAAGCGTGCACGTAAGACCTTTTACGACTGCGCAAGTGCAGAATACGTTTTCGCGTGCGCGTTTTATGTATAATGGACGTATAAGCTAAAATTATCTAATTATCTATTTCAGTTAATGTTGATGATTGCGTGGTTCCTTAATTTTCGAATTGGATTCAGCTTATTATTTTTTGCAGACTGTAAGAGCAATTTTATAAAAGTAAGCTTAAACTTTCGATTATATCAAATAGAATTTCCGATATATATTTGTTAATATGTAAAGGATCTAAAGCGAAAGTATGTTTTGAAATCCGAAATCTGTTTATCAATTTTACGCTGCTCGGCGGGCGCGTAATGAATTGGAAGTTGATCTGTCAACACTATCCTTATCTTCAGCGCAGATGTTTTTATTTTATTTGGCTTATAATTCCTTACCAAATGTAGTATTTCATCTCGATATGCTCTGTCTTTGATATGATTTAAACAAGTTCCTCGTCATTATAATTCGCTTTCGATAGCGAAGAAAGTGACAGAGGTTATTGAAAACGAAAAAAATTTCGATTGACAAATTAGTCGGTGTTTCTAGACACAGCAATTATAGGACTTGAACAGCGGAACTTTGTAACTGAACAAGAAATTATGTCTGTTTAATAGAATTAAAGAGAAAGTATTATCACATGAAACAAAGCAAAACTTAAACAACTTACATTGAAAGAAATGTTTAATAAAGTAAACAAATAAATATTAAGCTTTTTTTTTGCAAATTTTGATACCCTTTAGATCATAATTGTTTTCTTTATTTCATAAATTACGGTTTCATATTTTTAATTTTAGAATTTCTGCATGCCATCTTACCGAGATTTAAAACTGATGATCTATAATCCGGAAAAATCGATAATCCGGAATCCGCCGAAGTCCCGACGAGTCCGGATTAACGACTTTTGACTGTATTTTTACACGTCACCAACGAATTCATACCGCAGCATTACACTTAGTATCAATATTTAATTATTTCCATGCACGTTATTTCAACTTAAACGTATACCATTCCTACAAACATAAAAATCACAAAATAACTATCATTCATTAAAATAATTAAATTCAAAAACACACTAAAATATAAATGAGCACAATACATTAAATTAAAAAAATACCTTACAATCCTAATTACTTTAAACTAAATCATGCTAATAAATAACATTTTCCCAAAATACCAAATTCCTTTCCCACCTTACATTGGAACAATGCATAAAAATAATATCCTCAAATAATTAAAAAATACTACTTACCTAATTTCTTCAGAATCTTGATTACGTGGCGGATACACTTTCTAATTCATTCAATAAAATTATTGAAAAAGATTTTTTTTTGCGAATTTTCCTCCATACTTCTCCGCTAAAATAAAAAGCAAAACTTCTCTTTATCACAATGCCTAAATACCCATTCGAATTCACTTTACTTAGGGCCATGGGATCCAAAAATTAAACAACACTGTTTCACACAACACAGAATAAAGCTAAATACAAAAATTTCCACATTTTTTCCCCGAATTTCCCCCCTTTTCCGATTTTTAAAGAACTGTAATTCGTTCCAATTAATATCACAGACATTATCCCATGATCTCTCATTTCCCTCAGCAAAAAAAATGCGTAATCGGAACTGAGTTACTGCTCAAATTATTACTAAAGTCCCAGGTAGTAACCTTTATCGCCTCCAAAATATCGCCAAACTACCAGTTACCATATTGTAAAGATCAACCAACTTAATGTTCACTAAGAATGAATTTACAAAAAGTTATAGTATTTTTTTGACTATCCATATTCCACTGGCTAAGATGAAGCATTGTTGATACAATATATCATGTCATGAAAAGTATTTATGTACAACACACTACATAACCAAAAAGTATTTATGTGGCTATCATGTACATATATAGCATTTCTTCCAGATGACATTTTACTTGTCTGGACATTTTTGCCAGCAAGATTGCAGATTATGATTCCTCTTATTGCAATTTTACTGTTTTAGTATAGCAGTGTACCAATTACTGCAGGTTTTGCTGTTTTCAGCAAAATCTCAAATTTTCCGCACATGTACACCATAATGTGGCTCACTCAAAAAATAAAATGCAGTTCTCTGACATGTGTTTTTAGCTAAAATAAATTGTTATGTACTTGGAAAAATAATAAGAATAAACTGAGAAGTGTGCTTTTCTTATATGGAAAAAGAAGAATGTAAAAATTTGGCAGCATTTCATGCATTGGTGAAATAGACGTAAATATACCTTGACAATCGTTTTTCTCCAAAGTTGTTGATGTGTTACCAAATTTTCAGAGCTGAAAATCAAAAAGTACGAAAACTACTCTCACTGTAAATAAAAGGCTAAAGTGCAGAATCGCCCACTTATTTGATTGGTATTTACTTGGCGCTTTTTACAAGAATAAGAAGAATTGGATTTTTGTCAATTTTCTTTGACTTTGTAAGTGGAAATAGGTCGATGTGTACATGGATAAAGTCAAGGAAGTGCGCAATGCCATTTTTGTGCAATTCTGGGATTTTTTTTTAAGTGAAAATAGGTCAATGTGTACAAGGATACCAAGTATGTGCAATTCTCAAAATCGCGCCAAGCAGTGGGTGATTCTTCACTTTCTATTCATTCATAAAAAAAAAAAAAAAAAAAAATGTACATGAGTGTCAACTGGACATTTAGTAATTGGTTTGATGTTTGTATATTTATAATTAAACATAAAAACTATAACTTTTATGTTAATTTCAAACATTTATATTAAATAATAGAAATAAATGTTATTAGTAGGCTAGCTAAAATTAATATGAAGTTCTTACATCAATTTTTATTTGGAATATTATATTATTAATAACGGAAGAATAAATATTTTAAAAATTTATAAATCTCGAAATAAAATTATCAGCAGGAAAACTATTCATAGCAGATTTATACAATAAACATAAAACAGATAACTTACTGTGTTAGTATCATTTTTATGAAGCTGGTTATGAAAATTTCGCCAGTTCTCAATGAAATCTCTTAAGGTTTTCTTTTTATCCCTCCCTTTCTTTTCAGATATCTTCTGGCACAATTTGCATAAATGCAGAAAAGGCACATGTTCTGCAACTGTTGACATTAGCTTCGAAAAGATTAACTGGAATTTTGTAAAGACAATGTAAACAAATTGCTATTGTATTATGTGCAAACAACAATGAATTATTACATTTTAAATATTTTGAACATAACGCTGAGGTGAATAATATGGTAAAAACATAAATATCATGTATAAATGTTTGAAATATAAAAACTGTCAAGTATCACCGATAATGTCGAAAAATTAAATATTTACTTCTTAAAACCTTGTAGTTAATGAATCAGATGACTTATAATATTCCACAGATAAAACTTCTTAAGAATTTACATACATTTTACATAAAAGAGATAAATATAATTCATGAAAATACAAATTACGAAACATCGCATTCAGCGTCTGCAATTTCAAAATTCGCGGTTGTAGTTAATATTATGTTTTGGAAACAGTTAACTGCGGCCAAAAATAAAATAGAATAAAATAAAACAACAATCATATTAAAAAAAAAATCACACCTGAAAGCATATATATCATTTGCATACATTCACAATTAAACAAATAGATTTAACTCATTTATTATGCCGTCTGTTATATTAATTATATCTACTTTAATTAATTTAATACGTGTTATAGAAGTTATAGCTAAATTATAATCTGGGGAGAAATTTTCAAATAAATTTTAAAAAAGGACCCTTTCAACTGTAAATACTCACAATATCCGGACTGAACGTATTCTTTTCTTTTGGTCTTTAAGATATAATCTTCATTTTGAATACATTTTGTTCTCATAAAAGTTGTTACATAGCAAACAGATAGCCTGTTTTTTTTTTTATTATTATTATTTTTTCATTTGTGTGTGTGTGTGTGGAACAAGTCGGTGAGGATGATATGAAAGTGGCATTTACGCCACACTTTGCTACTGTAAAATAAGCACTTCAAGAAAAAGAATTATAACTTTCACTTACAGCAAACCTCAGGTTCATACAAACCCTCTTTAGATTTTACGATTGTCGTCATAATTGTCGTCATAATTGTCATAATTGTACAATGGAAATTAGGGAATTTTAGCAAATTATTTGACTCCACCATCTGCCGGAGTAGTCGTTACTGCTGTTAAAAGCAGGCCCGGCAATTCATCGTCCGATGCACTACTAAATTCTGCCGCCTGGTTTCTCCCAAATTCTTAAATTTTTTTTTTTTTTTTTTTTTTTTTTTTTTTTTTTTAAAGGGGGCAAACCAGAAAGTGAAATTTATCATAAGTGGCCTATTCCATAGCAAAAGCCCTCTTGAGTTAGCGCAACTTGGAACCCGAAAAACGCACGCGATGGCTTTGCTAAAGGAAAAAAGTAAGCACTCATTCTTTTTTCAAATAAATCCCAGTCATGCGTTTATTGCATAAAACTGGGTTTATCGTATTACAACCTAAGTAATAATGTGATTCAAAATTTCAAGAGTGAAATATTTCCTTATGAAAGAGATCAGAAATTATCCCTCATTAGGAAAGTATTCGACTGTTTCAAGCCTTTTCGACCTTTAATTTCATATTTCACTTTGTCTTTAGGCAATCAAAAGCTTTAGAACTTATGCAAATAAATTCTTCTTATGCAAATAAATTGGAAGAATCTCAGGTGGGAAATCGTAAATAGAAGTTAACATTTAGCGTGTCCCCCCCCAATCTGTTGGTAGCTTTACTGTTCATCATGAAGCAGGAAAACTTTAGAGTATTTACTCAAGAAAAAATATATACCGTAAAGTTTTTGACAAATAAATGAAGTTGCAAAAATAAAACCTCATAAGTTGATGCTTTGGTGTTTTTCCTGGCATTCAGCAAAATAATTTGTTCCTGTTCCTGCCAGTATCCTCAGAGAATTCTGACTGCCCCTGGCATATGATGAAGTCCGAAGATGAGAGTTCTTCATACGAGGTGAAAAAAGAAGCCCTTTGCTTCGATGTTTTGAAAGCAATGCATGAAACTAGTTACGAGGGATGTGGTGGCGAGTTCGAAGCTCCTAACTTGATAACTACTGTACAAAGTAAAATATACAGGATACAAACAGTAAAAGAAAAATCAAGTAAAAGTTCACTATTTACATTATATACAATAGATAGTCAGCTCTTAAAGAGCGGGAATAAATATCTGCGAATGTGCAGCCATCTGGGAGTTCCAGGAACAACATAGACAATGGACGGCAGTTGCAAAGTTTACAATTCGAAAAGGTAGAAATAGCATTTCGCACATGAATACTGGAAGAAACGTCCAAAATATAGAACGTAATCACTCAAAATGTTTATAAAAATTCGTTCTTCTCATCAGCTGAAAAAATAATAATTACAAGTCCCTGAAGAATTTATATTTCGACTGGTTTCGAACTCATGATCATCGATGAAAACTCATCTTTCACAACTGAGGCGCTGATATCCAGGCCGTTCAGTTAAACACAGAGCAAAGTCTAACTGCAGCAACAATGGGTACATAAGAAAATATTATTTACGTCCAAACGAAGCTCGTTCGCACGTGTTTCTTGGATTCTAAGTTTCGGTAGTGTCAACCCTTTGCTTGTCGAGTTATTTTCTAAAAATGCTATTAAAATGGTCCCACATTTTTTACCGAACTCCCTGTAAAACATCACCAAGGCTTCCCAGTCAGGGAAGAATTCTTCCCTTGAACGAATTTCATAGTTTCAGGGAAAGCAGGCAATCAGCCTTTTGCACAAACTGACTTAATTCACTGTTCTACTAAGAATTTCAAATGTAAAGAAATGGAGGCTTCGTTATTTTTAACCACTCAAACAACTTTTAAACTGTTGATATTTTTACAACTATTGCATGCAGATTAACCAAGGCATAAAAACTTTAATCTGAGAACAACATAACTGCATCACTTTTAAAGCAAAAAATGCACACTTGACCGGTATATAAGCATAAAAAACTGGTCTCACCGAGCGGGAAACAGAGTGGATATATATATAAGTAAAAATAATTATTTGTAATTTGAAAAGCCGAAAATTTGCGTTAAAGATGCTAAGTAATAAATAATTTGTTAGTAGAAAAAGTTTCGGATACTGACGTGGAAAGCAACTTAAAATACTTTAGTAAGTTTTTTTTAAAGTTTTTCTAATAATTCATAGCTTTAATTAAATTTCTTTTTCTTGGAGATGGTATATAAATAACGTTTCTAATAATAAATTATATATATGTAAAAGATAAAAAATACAATGGTTTTGCTCTTCACGAACAGGCAACCTATAATTAACTTTCCACAATTTCAGGATCTTCCCTTCTAGACTAGTACTTTCAAGAACATTCTGGCATGTTATGTAACTGCTACATACAGAATATGGACCAATTTTACCAAAATAAATACAGAATATGGACCAATTTTCGTCAGACTATTTTCTCCTCTAAAACAGCTAACTTCTTCTTTGTCCTCATTGGATGCCGCCTTAGACACAACAACGCCCGGTCTCTGACGCCAAACTTTGTCATTTCTGTGCCTGCCTGCCAGAATATTGCCAAAATATTACATACATACGTTTGGTGATGCGGTTTGCAACTAAAACGGGAGGTGAACAACTACACTTTATAGCAGTCCCATATACAGAATTTCAACGTTCTGAGGCTACTTGTTTTTGAGTTACGCGAGATATATATACATACATACAGACGTCAAGAAAAAAATCTCTTTTGAATCCATTGTACAATTCGTTTTGGAAAAAGATTTCTTTATTCTGTCCATACGAACAGGTGTCACGTAAAAACATCGTACAAATGGATTCGAGAACAGTCAAAATGGATATTTTCGTTTGAAATATATCCGAAATTTTTCGCGAATTCCTTTACTTCATGTAAAGGAATTGTATTTCCTTTACTTCATACAAAGAAGCAAAAACTACTTCTATTCAAGTTGTGTTATTTGTCCCCATTTTCTACACTTTTTGTTGTTTATTTTATAAAACACAAAAAAAAAAAAAAAAAAAAAAAAAGCCTAAATCTAGATAAATATATATATCTCTATTTTGAGTTTTGGAAAGAACAGGAAATTATCTTCGCGCAATGGTAAAAAGATTACATGGGGCAAAAAAGGCTGTGAACTGTTGCCATAGAGTTTGGAGAAATACCGGCAATTCTTTTTATTAATTTCGTTCTCTCCCAGATTTTTACATCGAGGATTCAGATTGAGACGGATTGCTATTGTAAACATTAATAAATGCGAGCTGTCAAGAAATTTGTAAATGAATAGCTTCTGCTTGATGGACCGCTCAATGACAGAGGAAAAAAAGAGGATTAAAGGTTTAAATGCGCATTAAATTTCAAGAAATAAAAAGACTGCAGAAGATTTGTTCAAACAGCGATATTGAATATAACCGATATTCTTCTCTAAGGCGACCACATGGAGGACCCAAATCATCTGGGACTATACATGATTGTCCTATGAAGATGCCACTGTATTATAAATTTGTACTAGTTGAAACCAATATTAATTATGTTATTAGAACATATGGAGCTTCCAAAGTATGTGAGCTATTGCGGTAAGATGGCTGAACAATAATAGTTCAAATTGTATCTGGATTCTGGAAAACAGACTTGCTGCATAGGAGCTTTCGTGGTTTTCCCTATCTGTAATGTGAATATGGTAAAAAGGTTACATGGGGCAAAAAAGGCTGTGAACTGTTGCCATAGATTTTGGAGAAATACCAGCAATTCTTTTTGTTATTTTCGTTCTCTCCCAGATTTTTCTCTCCCCATTTTTCTGTAACAAGACCTCCAAAATTCGTTAAAAAGTTACAAATTATGAAATCTGTAATAAAACAAATTCCAAATTTCAAATGTGATCTTCCACATGCCCATATTCGTAGGATTACGTCATTCAAAACTCGATGGCTCTATGTACCGTTGTTTTATCCCAATGCGAGAGATATACATACATTTTTGCAGATTTTTCATTATTTAATTTCTTTAAATATAATACAGGACGATAATATTTGGTGGCTACAATTTGAAAAGTGATTCGCTGTTTATAGCTTTCAACGCAAAATACCAAAACGAAATTAATAGTGCTTCAGGGCAAATTGCCCCTTTGAACTAAGAACTTAAAAAATTAAACAATTTAATATTATGAGACACACTAAAAAGTGCCGAAATCATCCTTTAGTGGTGAAACTGCTGTGAATTTTGAGTCACTGAATGCGAAAAGAACACAACAGCTTAGGCTAGATTAATTGATTGAGAGAAAGCATATGAGGACTATCAGCATAAGGGAATAGATGTGTTCGTTGATGATTTTCCAAGTGAAAGTGTGCCGTATTTACTTTAACACAGGAAAAACCACAAACCACCCATGCCACCAGTTCCTATGCCATAAATTTACTTCGTCTCGAATTACCAGTAGTCAGGTATCATATCCGTTTGAT